ACAGTGTCCTTAGCTCGGTAGAACCATTGAGCCGTGAAATAACGCATTCCATCTAAATCTTCAAACATCTGAACAATTTTACAAATATAATTGTCTTTACCTTCCTCACCATTAACATAAGCATCATCATGAAGATTATAAAGCTCTCCATCCACTTTTACCATAGAGAAATGGCGTTTAGCCATTCTTGTATCTACATGCTGCTTCTAGTTGTTTGTTCTTGGGATCCTCCAATGGATTTTCACTATTCCTAAAACGACTAAAGCCGCTTATTCCTTGGCAAGGTGGGCCACCACATACGACATCAACACTCCCTGGCAAAGGCAAAATACTTGCTTTAAACCCATTCTCAATGAACACCTTCATTTTCTGCTCACAACCACTCAGACCCTCAATGGGTTCCCATGTGTCATCAGCTTCGCCATAACCTTTCCAACGTATCTAGAAGTGCAATCCAGACTTTCTAGTTTTCTTTAGATCCCCCAAGCAAACTTCTAATACTTGTTCAACTTGATATACTTCATTGTCTGTATCACTTGCAGTCCCTTCTTCTTCTTCTTCATTACAAATATTCAAGCAAGGATGTGGTGCTGAGTTGCTTGTTATCAGAGAGCAACAGACACAAAGGTGTTCCCATTCCTTGAAAAGGAACAAGAAATCCTGAGCAGCTTCATTTTGGACCTGCGTCTCTGGATGATTCCATCTCAAGCTATCACATGCTTCTCTATTGAAATCCACTGCCCATTTTGTTACAAGCTTAACACCATAGTTCGCAGCTCAAAGACATAAACCAGTGGACATCGCACCACAGCCAGAATACAACTCAAGGAGGGTGTTTTCGTATACATGTTCTTTTATTTCTGCGGTGCTACTTTCACTGGACATAATCGAATCCAATTCTCTGACAGCTTTAACATGTGGAAAGCTTATAAATGTTGAATAAGGTACATGATACATCATATCACAATAAAAGTCGCACTCAAGTGGAATCCTTTCTCTAGACTTGATATTCTCATTGGGAGGAAAGCAAACTATATTCAACTTTCGAACAAGGCAATTGATGAGATTATCATCCTTAACTTCGGATAAGAAAACACGCTTGCTCTCAATGAACTTGTCAAGTGATTTAATAACAGTGTCCTTAACTCGGTAGAACCATTGAGCCGTGAAAAAACGCATTCCATCTAAATCTTCAAACATCTCAACAATTTTACAAATATAATTGTCTTTACCTTTCTCACCATTAACATAAGCATCATCATGAAGATTATAAAGCTCTCCATCCACTTTTACCATAGAGAAATGGCGTTTAGCCATTCTTGTATCTACATGCTGCTTCTAGTTGTTTGTTCTTGGGATCCTCCAATGGATTTTCACTATTCCTAAAACGACTGAAGCCGCTTATTCCTTGGCAAGGTGGGCCACCACATACGACATCAACACTCCCTGGCAAAGGCAAAGAACTTGCTTTAAACCCATTCTCAATGAACTCCTTCATTTTCTGCTCACAACCACTCAGACCCTCAATGGGTTCCCATGTGTCATCAGCTTCGCCATAACCTTTCCAACGTATCTTGAAGTGCAATCCAGACTTTCCAGTTTTCTTTGGATCCCCAAAGCAAACTTCTAATACTTGTTCAACTTCATATACTTCATTGTCT